AGGAAAATCAGAATTATTAAAATGCGCGTAAAATCGAGGTAAAATGTGCGTGAAATTGTGGGTGCATATAATCATAGTATGCCTGTATATTGTTTCAAGCGATCTGCAGACTGTAGGTGCGAAGGGCATTAATACATGGTGGGAACTCAACTCTAACTTTATGGGGCTGCCATTTATTAATTTCAATTATGGCGCAGACCGTTATGATTTTCATATAGATTAACAGCCTTTTCCTCTCCTCTTACAGCGTTACAAATGCCATCTTATGTTTCGTTTGTCTGTTCAACCTTCCACCAAAGATTCATGCTCAGAAGATCTATAAAGTCATGTAGAATTATTGAAAGGGAATACGGATGGTCATCGGGATATCCGTGAGAGATGAAGAAAGATGCTGTAATCTAAGTCTTGCCAGAAATGTTAGGGCTCGAATTTACCAAAGTGACAGTATGGAGCATATGAATGCAGATTGCCTCCAATGGAAATCAGCAAACGAGAAGCGTCATGCCGCTGGGTATTCCAGCTGCAGGGAAGCTGACCACAATTTAAAAATTAAAAATATGGATAACAACAGAACATTCACCAGCAGAGGAGGCACCATCCGTACCATCAATGATCACATCAACAGCAAAAGATGACCAAATCAGCTCTATCCATAGAGTGGAAGTGGCTATAGGAAAACACAAAATAACAGTGAAACGAACCATAGCAACACATAAGTATCCAGCGTTCATTTTCCGTTCTGGCAAAGCCTCCTCGAGTTCTTTCTTATGAACTGCACGGGCGTTCATTCAACTTGAACGCAAGCTCAGATCTCTTGATCAGATCTCGAATTGATCGCGTTCCAAAGCATAAGTGAATGAAACTACTGCCTCCCATACATGTTTCTATACACAAACTTTACAGCACTACCACAAGTCCAGATCGCGATCAAATTCGTTCGAACTTGGTACAGTTGTTGGGAACCTCAATTCACATCGGAATAGTATCGGGGAGCGGGGAGTTGTGATTAGCCACCTGAACTTGACCCACCATGATCATGTTTATGTTATTTTGGTTTTTCTAGTCGTTGAATCGTAAAATATAGTAAAGACAAGGACATTTGAAATGAACACAACGCTCCAACAGACGGTTGCAGACAAACAAATGAACCATGAAATGAAAACTGTTTTGATGTGACCATGTCCATGCCTAATAGCGAAGACTACAAACCAAGAAGACTGGCAACTCTGCCAAAAATCAGGAGACAGTAACGGCAACGCCTCTTCTGAGCAAAAGCGGAACCAGTCTATGATGGTTTGTGTTAATTCACGAGTGCGATCACACACATAGATAGAAATAAATAGCTGTCAATTATTGGTTTTGTTATGATTGTCGTAAAAAGATTGCTTCATGCGAACAAGATGCGTAAGTAAATTTGTTTTAAATATTAAAACTATGGCAATGATGCCATTCACAATGTTGGTGGGAGCATCGAGCATTAATTTGCTATCTCAGAATTGTCTTCCACTTTTCCTAAACTCTTTAGTGATGCATTTATGGGCATTCGTATGGTGCATTAGTAAAATCCATGCCCGTTCCGAACGGCTTTGGCACCTGGCCACATGCTTGGCATGCACAGTTGTGCACACCAACTGCTCGTTTGGTAATAACTTTTCACTCAGATGTTGATATTTATTTTTCTTTAAAGTAATTGATAGAATATGCTCATAGTTTACTATATATATGCAAAGATTAGGTAAAGCTTAACATTTGAATCAACACTAATCAATTTAACACTTTTCCTAGATGTGTAGTGAGCATTTCTCACCTCATTTTTACAACGCAAAAACAAATACAGTTTACTACTAGCATTAAAATCTACTTTTTTTTACATATCTATAACAAGCTTACACTCTATTCTATCTACTGCTTCAAAAAGAACTATGTTCCGTCAACTGTGTGCAAAGTTAGTAGCAAATGAGCAGTTCGTGACCAAAACTGTGCATGCCAAGCATGCCTGGCCACAGTGGGGGGTTTAAGTTGTGACGCTCGGCAACTTAGCACAGTACTCGCTGACCAGTTGAATGTCACTGGCCAATCCGACACTGTTGTTATCATTCTCTGGAAGTGGTCGGTCGATTCCAAGAATTGTTAAAGTATACAGATGATCACTATCCGGTGGTTTCATGTTCTGACAACATGTATAATAGAAATATATTCTTTATCAATACGTACCGTTTGGGATTGTAGATCTTTAACCTTTCATTTTCATTTTCTCCAACATGCTACGCCTTCCGTTGGATCGTGATGTAGGTAGCTACCGGATTTTTCTTCTTTTTAAATCCTTGAATTTTCAGCAGCTTAGTGGTGGTGGAAGCTGCCAAATCCTTATAATTGATTGCTTTCAACAAGCAAAATAAACAATATTTCGGTTCCTCGTTCACAAGTAAAAGTTACTTTCACTAAGTATCGATCCGCGATTTAATCCTCTACTTGATCCACCATGACAAGTTTTTCGGTTTGGAGTTGGAAAACCACCGGTTTGCTGGGATTAGGATACAACTTGCCGTAAAATTTTGTAGAGCAAAACAGAAAGAACAACGAGTTTCGGAGACATTAGGTCACAAACACAGTCACTGTTTATGAGCAGTCTCACTAACACTTGTGCTTTAAAGTTCCACCTTTGATTGACAGAGGCACTGTTATCAGTGACGTTTAACATTTGTATGGGAGAAGGGATCAGTTGCCAGTCTTCTCGATTTGTAGTCTTCGTTAATAGCAAAAAAGGAATTAATTTCTGACTCGACCTTCTCCGAGTATGTAACTTTGCCTAATTGTTTGTTATGCTCAATCATTCATATTTGAGCTAAAATTTGCCATTTTGAATGTATCTTAAAATTTCAAAATTACGTTTTCGATATTTTTTTCGAAATCATAGTTCAATAACATTCCTATTCCAATTGAAATGACGTCGCAGACAAAGTTGTAGGATACAATAATTGCTTTTCAGGAAAAATATACACGGTAAAGGATTTTAAGTAGTTTTAGATAAACAATTTAAAAAAGTTAATTATATAAGATAAAATGACCCTCTTCAATATACTTTGTTCATTTTTTTTTATTAAAAAGATTATAATGCATGCAATCTTGTGTGAAAATTTAAAGTTGGACAAAAATCATCAACTTTTTATAGTTTTTTAAACTTTTTGTTTATACGTTTTCTTAAATAAACAGCAGTAAGATTTTGGATTTAAAATTGAATGGGACCACTCTAATCACCTTTTGCAACAAAAGAAGGACAATTTAATTTGAAACAACCACCAGGAAAACACCATCCACCAAAACTTAATATATAAGAATAAATAATGTTTTCTGCTAAATTGTCGATATGGCCCATAATGACCTATCTAAGCCTTCAAATGGGAGAGTTCATTAATTATGTCACGCAAAATTTGCACTCCCCCCTCCTCTGTCACATATTGTCACAAGTTCGAATTACCTAAACCCTCTCATAATTAGTCTTTTTTTGGGGGTTTTGGAAAACTCTAAGAGAGTTTAAACTAGATCGCGAAGGCAATTGTATGAGATCAGAGTAGAATTTTCAGGAAGTTCTGTGAAAAATTCCATGATGATTGTGAAGAGGATTTCAGGATATGCGAAAATTATCAAGGGAATTACATTTTAAGTGGACATTTCCAAAGGAGTTCTCATCAGAGTTTAAATTTTTATCGCATAGTCAAGAACATTTTGATTTACGTATCTTTATTTCACTTTATTTCTTCAACAAATCCAAATGCCCAAACTTTCTTCTTAATTCCACCCATAAGGTTTAGTACAACGGTTGAATCGACATTTTTTCTTATTTAAACATTTCCTACTCCGTAGTGACAACTTTAGGATGTTGACGGAGTTCGTGTTTCATTATAGCCCAGTATATTTCGATCGGTGTGTTTGGGGGATTGAGATCCTTCGGCACGAAATTGACCCCATTCGTCTTGTACCTCTCCAGAACGTCTTTGGAGAAGTGACAAGAGGCTGAATCCGGACAAAAATTGTAGAAACTTTGTGTGATTTGAGAAACGGAAGCAGTCGTTTCCTCAGGCACTCATTCATGTAGATTTGACCATTTTCGGTTGTAGTTTTTACGAAAGGCTTGCTCCATTTTCCGTACGAACAAATCGTCTGCCAAATCATGAATTTCTTGGGGAACTTGATCTCTTGCTGTTTCCTGAGGGACTCTGAAACATCGAACTAGTCTTTCGTGGCCACATACTGGTTTCCCGGTTAGCTCAACGCGTTTTGAGCTGAGTTAGTCACAACATTCCCATTTCGGAGATAAGCTTTAAAGCAATTTTAATGGAAGCACGGAGCTAAGAATCTAGCCTGATAAATCCAAGAATTACGTTACATTTGTAACTGTTGTCCCCTAGACTGAATCTGGGATTTTGTTGCGATTAATGTTGTATATTCATTGAAGATCAAAACGATGATTATACATAGCCAAATTTCAAACTGATAATCAACACTCCAAAATACTAACGGTCTGCCGTCGTAAATGCCATAGGTCGATGTAACATGAAAGATTAGGAAATTTATTTCAATCCGCCAGCCCGCAAATATCTGTGTGATCTTTCTAAGTGCTAATCATCACCACCCAGCGCTGCAGTAAAGCGTGCGCAAAAACGTTACAAGTCAAAACAAAACAGCATCGCTCATTCCGGAGCAGAACGGTTATTATGGAAACGAATATAATTCAATGACTTGCAAGCTCTATCACACGTGAAACTGTTTGACTAATGATTGCGCTATTTTTGCAGAAGACCGATTCGCCTTTAAGCTTGAACAACAGATATTCAAAACAATAATTAGTAACAGAATTAAATTACATTCCTTTAAAACACTACACTGCCTTCACAGTTTCTAAAATACATGTTTTCACCGTTTTACGATTCACCGACAGTCGAGAAAAAAAAAACACCCGGGACGACCTCCCTTTCGCACAGAAACACCCAATTTCTCACCTCTTTTTCCTGCCAGTGTCCAACATCTTCTTGTTGACCGAGCTTCGGTAGTTGGTCGTAGCCACTTTCCCTGCTGCTCTGGCTTGCGGGGGAGGTGGCGGCGCTGGGCTGAGATTAATTTTATAAAATTGCTGACTTCACGGTTGTTGAGAGGAACCAGCGGTGTTGCAACACTCATATCACTTTGTACACCAACAATACACTTGGCTCTTTAGTCGCAATTTGGCAGCAAAATTCACACGCCAAGAGGAGCACTTTCTTTGTTTAGAGACCGCAGAGTGAGAAGAGAAACACACACACAAACACACGCTCAATTGGCTTGTTGATGTTGTTGCTTGTTGCCCTTGCTGAGATAAGCACACTTCCACAAGACACTACATACGATGCACGTTAGAATTTTCATGTCGATCGAACTGCATGCACGTGCTATATCTTACATGTTGTCCTCGAACATCCACTGACTGACTGTACTTGAGCTAAGGGCGCGCGCGTTCCACTTGGTTGTGTCTCCTAGAGCGGATGCACTTCAGAACACGAAGCCTGCCTATTCTAATTCATGGAAATGCTACAAATCAATCACTAGCCGTTGAACAGTCGTTTCTTCTCAGGCGTCTAATTCCCTGAATCATCCCCTCCTAATGCGATTGTAATCACCATTGCAAAGGGATTCCCGTGTTTCACTGATCGCGAAGTGAGAGAAAAAAAGCTGATCACAACGATATTCGATATTCTTTCACAAAGCAAAAAACACAAAATCGAGTCTCGCGCGTGCCTTCTTGTTCGGTCAAACAGCGACGACGCCAAAAGACTGTCTGACGCGGCACTCAGCCGCGATCGCGATCGTTACCGGCGGCGGGTGCGCTTCGCACCGCTGCTAGTCGCGATCATCGCCAAAACAGTCAGCTGTTGCAGGCAGGCAGGCAGTCGGCGGTCTCTCACCAACACACTAAATAGGGTAAATTGGCCTATTAAGGACCACCTAGTAGCAGTTTCAGCCATTTACGCAACCAATAAATTGCTTTATTTTACTCACAAAAAATATGCGTTACAAATGGAAGTCACCATTAATATTTTATAGACCACCCGGTTAACAATCGAATATAATGGACTTCTAGAATAAAAACAAACACATTTAATATAAGAACTCAGGTAGAAACAGACAAATAGGCATAGCATTCGTAGGTTACTCATCGAACACGCATTTAAAGGTCAATCTAAATTTGTTTTAGGTGGTAGTTCCACCACCTGTGGCACTAATAGTCTAATTGCCTTGCGTTTGACGTTTAAAGACTATTGCCATCTGTTGAGTGTAGTGTTTTAGTAACGATGTTTTACAGTGAGACATATTCAATTTGCTATGTATTTTTGTCTGTGCTAGAAACAATATATCAAGAGCCACATGTGAAAAGGGTATACACCTTTTTTTGTAAACAAACCTTCTTTTATCTTTTTTTCGCCACCCATATGACACCAACGCAAACCATCAACATCACCTTGTAGGGGAAGCTTTCCCCTTCTCGATGATGTTGTTGGTTTGCGTGGACGACCCTCGGTTACAAAGGTTTGTTTACAATAATAAATCAATAATATGTCATTTCAGGCATAACATTTGATAACGGCACAAAAGCATTTGTAAACAAACTCTCTAAGGCCCTTTACACGCTAACCAAAGTACGCCCACGCAAACCAATACCACTTTCGGAAAGGTGAGAGTTGCCCCTATCCGATGATGTTGTTGGTTTGCGTAAGCGTACTTTGGTTCGCGTGTCAAGGGCCTTACAAATATTGTTTACAAAAGCTTTTATGCCGTTATCAAATGTTACGCCTGATTTTCACATTTAATTCAACCCGAAAGGAGGAACAAATTGCTTTCAGTTTTGTTAAATTGTCATTATAAAACAAATGGTGCTCCACATTGTTGACCCTTTGCTCATTTGACAGATCCTGACAAACAAGCATATTATTATTTTTTTCTAAATGTTTTAAACAGTATTTGACCAATAACGTTCCGATGGAATTAACCCGTGAATGCGTAAATGGTCCACTAAGGGGTATAAGTCCATCAAATGAAAATTTACCCTATACTCGCCGCTCTGTGCTGCGCACCATTCGATTTGCGGCTACTGGTTAACCGCAGAACCTGATGCGCCTTCGTGAGTTCGTTTGATCGCTCTCAGAACGCAGTCGGGTGGGTTTTGGTTTCTATATTATGTAGCTTGATGTTCTCTCCTAGCGGTTGGGGGTTTACTTCTAACCGCTATGATTTTCGCGTTTGCTTTCCTTCGCTGGTTTCTATAGTATTTACTTACGCGGGTGAGAGTTGCTCACGCTGCTTTACACTTCCGAAAAGTAATTTAGGGACACTAAATAAAGTAGGGGTCCTCTTAATTTCAAGAATCAATAATTTGTGTTCAGAAGCCTTTATGTTTTATTTCTCTGTTTGTTTCTGGAAAAAAAAACATTAGATTTCGGATACAGAGCCCGAGCAAAGTTAAGCATCAAAATGACAGCAAATCGAATCAAATTTTAATATCTACAATAAACTGAAATCAGAATTTGATTTTAGTTTACGCGATTTGCAAATTTTATAACAAATTTTGTTTTTATTTTGCTGTACATTTACTCTTCAAAAATATGTTGCAGTTTTTTCAATTGCCTTAGCAGAACATCAAACTGAATACTCGTTTTGATATCGACTGGAAAAATGTACTTTAAATTGAGTTTTAAGTTTGCTCTCACTGATAGCAGAATTAGTGTTCAATGTGATGAATGAGATTTTGTTGTTCTCAATTTTGGTATTTTAATTTAACCGACCAAAACGACAGCAACCTGAGCAATTATTATCAGCGACATCACAATATCTAATTTAGTTTTCAATTTGATCATAGACTTTGCTCGGGTAGTTGGTAGAAACAAAACGACAGCAAATTGATATCAAATTCAACATAAACATCAATTTGTTTTCATAATTTGTTTTCAGTTTACGCGATTGATAAATTTGATAACAATTCTGCTACACTTTGCCCACACCTGGATCCTACCTATCGACCTATCAACTCATGAACCGGGGACCAACGGCTTTACTTTTCTTCCGAAGGAAGGCGTGATCAGAGATGTTATGCCTCAGAACATCCCGGCGGCGCCGACTGGGGTTGACCTCAGGCCTGCTGGGTTGAGAGGTAATCACGCTTACCACATAATAATAAATACCTAAATACCACCTAGAAATGATCCATATGAGACGTCTATAATCATGATCACTCATGGTCTCCAGAGTCTATTTTCCGATCATAACTCCGAATTAATAATTATAAGACGTCTATGCATTGACCACTTTTACGGATGTTTCGGATCTTTCGGAGTTTCTTTAATGTTAGTGAAATGAGGGTGGTTCATAAAATTGGTGAATTGAAAATAACGGGTGTTCAATAAAAAATGCAATTTTTTTCAGTCATATAGCTAGAATTTTTTTTTCAACGAATTCAGTATTTTTTTATTAAAAACGTAATGTTTATTCTTCAAAAAACGTCTATGAATATTATAGGGGCCCTGGTCAGCCGTATGATGCAACTTAGTTGCGATGCTCTCACAAGAGCGCTGGACGGCACTGAAATCGTTCTCATTTTTTATTGAACACCCGTTACATTTATTTTTTATTTTTGAGGTAGACCAATGCAATGTTCCAAAAAGTTGTAGAACAATCAACTTGAAGCAACTTTGCTCAAGATATCAAATTTCTAACTCTTGTCGTTCACGAGTTATGTTTTTTTTTAAACAAGCATATAGATAAAAATTCTTAATTTTAATAGTGATGTAAACATTCATTCACGTAACCGAGCAACTTGTAAACAATGTTGTTTACAACAATGGGCTTTTGTATACAATATTTGCTACATTGCATGAAATGTCTCAGAGCTTTACATGATATATAATGTAAACTTATATGATATGTGACGCTCCATATATGTGCATCATACTGAACCGAAATTTACACTACTTTTTCGAACGGTGCAGGTTAAGGTGGCCCCTAACAAAAAAGATTTCTTTGAATATCTATTCATACGTTCATTTCTCGTTAAAACTTTGTTCTAAATACTTTTAGAATTTTTTATGACGCATATTTTTGCTAGAGCAACTAAGTTGTTATCTCCTTTATTTGAAAAGGTTTCGATAAAACCGCAGATGTTTAGTTTCATGAATTTAATACTTTTACCGATGTTCCTGATTTTTCGGTGAACCATCGCGTGTTCTCCAGGGTCTATATTCCGGTCACAATTTCGAATTCATTCTGATAAGACGTGGTTTCAAAAAATACGCGAACCATTAGGATCAGTTTCATGCACTTTTACGGATGCCCCGAATCTTCTAGAGGACTATCCCGTAGTCCACTGCTTCCATATTCCGATCACAACCTCGGATTCAGTTTGGTGAGACGTTTATGGGTGGTTTCGAAAAAAAAAACGAGGAGCTCTAGGATCAATTTCATGAATTGATCTCTTTTACGGATGTTCCGGATTGAGCGGTGAACCATCCCGTGGATCCCAGATTCCAAATTAAGGTCATAACTCTGAATTGGTAGTGGTTCCCGTGGTTCCCAGGGTTCATATTCCGATCACAATTCCAAATTAATTCTGATAAGACGTCTATGAGTGTTTTAGAATAAACCACGGAGCTATAGGATCAGTTTTTTTTTTAAATTTACTAGTTATTCTGATCACAACTTCGAATTCTTTCTGATGCAACGTTTATGACTGGTTTTAAAAAAATCGCGGAGCACCAGGATCAGTTTCATGAATTGACCACTTTTACGAGTGTTCCGGATCTTTCGGTGCACCATCCTGTAGTCCACTGAGTCCAAATCTCAGTCAAAACTCCGAATTAATTGTAATAAGACGTCTATGAATGGTTTTATGAATTAACCACTTTTACGGATGTTCCAGATCTTCTAGTAGACCATCCCGCAGTCCCCAGTGTCCATATTTTGGTCACAACTCCGAATTCACTCTGATAAGATGTCTATGAGCGGTTTCTTAAAAACCACGGAGCTCTAGGGTCAGTTTCATGAATTGACCACTTTTACGGATGTTCCGGGTTTTCCAGAGGACCAGACTTTTGACTTCTCGGATGCAAAATTGTCCCAAAAGGAGATCATCTATCTTGTTAATAACTTTTCAGAAGACACTAGGAAGTTCTCTTCAAATTACCCTACAATAAGTGTTTGTCCCCAATTAGCTCTAATCCCACATGCTGCGTGTATTCGTTAATGCCGGTTGTTATTGTGTGGGCCCTATTAACCGTACTATAGGAATCTTGACTGTACGCCTATCTATCAAGGATAAGCAAAAAAGGTAGTAGAATTAAATTGAAATCACAAATCCTACTCTATTTCTTTATAAATTTGATAACACATTTTGGTTTAATTTTGCTTAACATTTGCTCTTCAACAATATGTTATATGCAGTATTGTTTTCATTGCCTTAGCAGAACATCAAATTGAATACTCATTTTGTAGGCCGTTGGTCCCGACCCATGTGTGTTGAATGGGTGCGATGCAGCTGCCTTTCTGCACTTTCGATTGTCGTCAATGGATTACAATCGATGTCCATCGGTGATTGGCACTAGATTACGGAACAGAGACCGAAGTTAAATGAAGGAAAGAAGATGAAACATATTTTGAAATTTTAAATAAATTTAATTCATCCTGTTCGTCTTACCTATACCTATACTAATACATTGTCGAATATTGTCATTAACTTTTGAAGGCTTAGTCGATTTCTTAGCTCATATTT